CTCCTTTCATTGAAGTTCCAAAAACATTGGTTGATCACAGATGTTCTTCTTCTTTCACTGTCAACGGCTGACTTCGTCGGGGGAGCTTTCGCTCTTCAAATTGTCATTTTCATGAATTATTTCCTTCTGGAGAAATGGACAGCGTTCAACTGCGGCTTGTATATTGTGGTAGTGCATTCACTTCGCTTTGCTTCCGCGGGAACTGTGACACTTATGGCAATCGATCGAGCGTTTATGATCTTAAAGCCGTTTAAATATCATACAACCATCACAACTTCAAGAGTAAAGAAACTTGTTGTATTCACTTGGGTCGGCGCTATTTTGTTCGCAAGCTTGCCGTTTATGGGAGTCGGAAAATCGGGTTATAAAGATGGCAAATGTCTTTATCATTTGACAGACTTGGGTAACACGTACTCAGTACTTATTCTAACCGTGTCGTTTCTCTTACTAACATCAGTGTTAGTTTGTTACTTTGCAATTAAATCTTCAAGTACAAAGTTCATTCAACGGCAGACAAGAATGGAGATTAAAAACAAGAGCGCTGGAACAGACGAGACTCGCGGGTTGAGTCCTGAGGTGCCCGGGTGCGAGAAGCCAAAGGAAAGACGGAAAAGCAGCCCCTCAGGTGTCAGAGAGATTCAAAGGCTGTCACGTATGATGGCTGTTGTTGTTTTTCTCTATTATATCAGCTGGCTGCCCATGTTGGTGAGTTTATCGGTGCGAGTTGAGGGAATTGTTAGGGCTAAAATAACAGTTATTAAGGCTGTTTTGCCAGGCGTGACGAAGCGTTTCAACGTTGAAAACATCGAAAGGAAAGAAAAGTTCGTTTCCAGGGTCTTCAAGTTGCTTGGACAGAAGTGTACCAAGGAAACCGAAGAGCCTGGATAGTTTAAAAGCGCTCAAATAAAGCACTTATCGCTTCACAACTGAAAACGGGATTTACAATAAGTTTACTGAAAACTGCAGTAGCTTGATCACTTTTAATTCCAGTCTATAGTAAACTTGTTGCAAATCACTGTTCCCTTGTCACGCCACCAGATGTTGTTATAATGCATCAGTCAATTCCAGCAGTGCCCAAACCCCCCCCCCGGGCAACCGCAGGGCATTTGTTCACGTTGTCAGTCCCGGGGGGTGGGGCATCCACAATTTTATCGCGGCTCGGGGGCTGGGCATTTGCGTACCCCGGGGCGACCCCCTGGCATTCGACACACGTGTTTTGGAAAGTGCCATGGATGAGTTCATCGGGAAAGACGAGGCGTTTGTCGAGCAATGGCCTGTCCGTCAGGGACTAGAGAAACTTGCAGATGTTTTTAAAGGTATGTTTTCTCAATTTTAGATATTTCTTCATTACTTGTAAGCGTATAAATATAAGCGACAAGGTGAGCTATATTTTGTTTATCACAAAACAATCACTGACATGAACACGACTATTTCGCATTTCGCATTCAAAACTAGCCTAGCATTTTTTTAAATTCATGAAAGTGGAGTTAAAATACTTAAGGTTTGCGAATTCAAATGATGCGATCTTCAAGACAGATCCTGCGAGCTTAAAATGCAATGCATCATCATCTAAAATGTCTTGATTCTTCACAGAAAAAGTAGCCTGCGAATACAGGCGCCTATCATCGCTCGCGGCTGGGGACACGTCCGCCGCAATCCAAGCTATCCTCTAGCAAACTGTTAAAAACAAATATAAAGAAATAAATATAATCAGAATTAACTAACACGTACTGTTGTCCTTGAAGTCTTACCGTTGCATTAAAATACTGAACAGTTGACCGGTTTATTCACTGATTAATTAAAAAAACTGTGGAGGTGTTGGAAGGCGACGATCCCGGGGGCGGGGCATTTGCCCTCTTTCTTCGTCCCCTCCCCGGGGCATTTAGACAGCTTATGTGTCCCCATCCCGAAGAATTTGCCAATTTTTTAAAAAAAAATGCTAATGCCCGGGGGTTAGTCCGGGCGGGGGGATGGGCACTGCTTGAATTGACTGATGCATAAAGCCGCACAAACGATACGACTACACTTAAGTGGAAATTTTGCGTTGTTACAAAATTTATAAGATTGGACAATGTTTGAAATAGCTCCGGTTCAAGACAATCTCTCTTCCGTGAATAAACTGTTTGTATAAGAGGTTTTGGCAACGAATTTGAAATTGAAACCAACGTTAACAAGTTGCCATTGTTTCTATCAAATGGTGAAATGCTCTTCAGATCGAGGATTTTATTGATCGGTGTATGCTTCGGTATAATCAACGTGTATATTTGAATACACCGAACATTTTTACCGAAACAGTTATAATTGGCAATTTTATACTCTTCGTAACTAAGAAATAGAAAAAATTTTCCGTGTTTCTATTGAGTTTTAGGATAAATCTAAAAGCATTCTATCACGAATACTGTTCTTTGTGCAGTGTGCGCTTCTTAGGGGCTGTGCAATAATTACCTGGAAAGTGGGGGGTGGTGGGCTGGGAAGACATACTTGGCTCCCCTCTCATTAAGCAAAAATTAATTTCAACCTCCCCCCCTCACATAATGATGATATTAAGGTTACCCCCCCCCCCTTAAAAAAGTCTCCTCCCATTGATTCCCTCATACCTAGTTTACTTGTTGGAGTTCTTCCTCCGGTACAAATATCACTTCAAATGACTCTTCGACGTATGTCGATGAGTCATTTGAAGAGTCATCAGAATCACTGGACTCTGAGCTTGTTTCGACTTCGCATGAGTTGGGAGATTCTTCATCTTCTATAGCATCTCTGGCACTAAGGTTCCCGCGTGCGTGGGTGAGAACTCGATCAATCAACTCAAACGTGCTTCCACTTATCTTAAGACCTTTTTGTTTTAGATACATTTTCAGCTGCTTGTTGGTAGGCACTTTTACATCTTTTTCAATTGTCCAAGAAATAAGCGGAAGAGTGTTCCTTTCTCTTACTCTTTTTTTGGCTTTTGTATCGGGGAACTCAAGGTGCTGTACATACCTTTTACATGCAGTCTCGTTCACGCTGTACTGGGAACATACCTCTTGCAAAGACCTTTCTTCAGTAAAGGGCAGTTTTCCCTCGTTGAACAACCTCTTTATCTGGACACTTGGGAGAAATTTGTCGATCTGGTCTCCAGTGGACGTTGCCGTAGTGAATGGTATATACTTTCCAGGCGAAGTAGCATCTAGGGTTGGAACTGGAGAACGTTGGACAGGAACACCTCTTGTCTAACCTTCATTAAGGTATCCATCGCACGTTGGCGTGCAGGAAAACTTAAGGTACCCAAGGAGGTACGAACATGACGAACATGGTCTTCTTTTAATTTCTGAAGCTTTTGCAAACAAGGCATTCCCACACATATTAAATTTTACATCTAACCCCCCCCTCTCTTGTTGTCATTTTCTGCTATGCCCCCCTCTAATTTTCCACCACCCCCCTCACTTCCAGATAATTATTGTAAAACAATTAGATTATCTTAGATTAACTTAGAAACTCCCATCCCAACAATTTTGAACATTTAAAAATGAGCTTAAAGAATTGGCCCTCTACAAGAAATTTTAAAAAGTTATATTTAATGCGATACTAAAGGACTTGATCGAATTTAATCAAGTCATGAGTGGACTTTTGCCTTTGTGGATACAGATGGACCATTAGTACATTCTTGATAGGCCGGTGGACTGGGTAATAACAGGAGCCAGGAGCCATAATCGGGGACGGAGATCTTGGGATCCGCGCGCACCTATGATATGGGACAATTTTTCTATTTTCAGAACAAATTGCGCCATCCTGACGTGTTATATCTGCGCGGATCCACGCACATGTCGGGGGTTCTCGCGTGGATGTTGTCACGTTGCCTGGTTAAATGATGAGAGTTGCGAGATTCTATTGCAGATTTTCACAGCGATGGCGGGGAATAAGACAGGGAATAAGAACCAGGGTTCTTATAAATAGTTTTACGCTCTGAGGTAATGGAAAAGGTGAGTTTTCAGGGTCGAAAACGAGACTTCAATTTCGCGCTGTGAATGAATGTCTGCTCCCGCTACTTGTACGAGTAAGATTTTGCGTTTGTTCTGTAAAGAAAAGTTATGTAAGAAAACTTACCCTGGTATCGAGATAAATTGTGAATTTCCCAAACAATGCTTAGTCATAACGAAACCCTGATAATTTCTTATTGTTTCTGTTTGTTTGGCGAGTTTGCGCAAGTGTTTGAAAGGCAAGTCTGACGCGTACATTAAGTAGCTCATTTGCATAGTGCAGCGCGCGCACTTTCAAATCCGAGTCGGTGTTTTCAGTTGTCAACAAATCTTGACTAATATTTCTTTCGTTGTCTTTTATGCTGAGATGCTGCAACAATTTTTACCAACGCCAAAAGGCTACTAACATCATGTGTGTTTCTTTAACATGCTGAAATTTTACACTGCGAAAATAAAATAGACAAGGAGTTTTGATAACTCAACCAACGAAATCGAAATCGTTATTCGAGTCGATTAAAGGAAGTGTCATCGTAATTTTGCTGATTATTTCCGCTGTATTCACATATTTTCAGCTAAGCTTTTAATATGTTGTCAAATATTTATCGACCTTAAACATATTTAAAAACTAGACTGAGATTATATGAGTTCGATCTACGTTTTCACACGTAAGTGCGGCAGTCCAACTTGTCATGTTTTACTGACTGTCCAAAACACGCATCGGCGGGCGCTCTTATTCATCGACAACCGACAATTTATTGGATTTTTACACGAACAAAACTGAGCAGCATCCACAGACATAAACTTTATTGTCACTTATTGGGCCTTGATAAAACAAGCGTTGCTTACAATTCAGGCGAAACTCAAACTTGCAATTATTTTTTTTTTTCACTTTTCGGTCGAGATAGCCTCTCAGGCTGGCGAAATCCTCGCAAGCGTGTGATAGGTGGAGGGAAACTTTGAAGTCCTGAAACGCTGCTATATCCATATATATCCAACTAGTTTTTTTCTGTGTTATGGAAAAGCTGTTAATCATCAACATATGTGAAACTTAGAGTGAAGTAATGTGGAGCTCTTGTAAAAGAAGTGAGCGAAAAACAACTCGGTCAGGGACATAAAGCGGGACATAACTTAGTTCGACACTGTCTTACTTCACTCAAACTGGAGCAGCTTACGACGAAAATACTGAAGTAAAATTCCAACAGACATGAACTTATATTGAGTTGTGGGCCAAGACCATCAAACATTTCGGGAATTTGGGAAGCCATCAGTTTCCCCACTCTACATCCGCAAAAATTGATCTTACAGAAATCGTTCAAAAAGTAAAGCTGAATTTATTTTCCTCCTAGTATGTATTCATTAATACTCAATAATTTCGCTTTAGTGTATCTG